ATTACCGACATAAATCGTGTTCCATCGTTTCGAGCTTTTGTTTTTGTTTTGCCCAAGGGGTGCTCCGAGGGGAGTGCTGCATGGCGCCTCTTCATTACCGTCTCGGTCACGGGCAAACTCTCGCAGCACGACGTCCACGCGTGCTGCGTCTGTGTGCTTCGTGAGGAATGGATCTACGTTGAACTTCCATCGCACCGCACGTAGCCAAACGCGCTAATCGGAGGTGCGGGAGAATGACAAACTAAACACAAAAAGCAGTCCTAAAGAAATTCGTTTTCAATCTAGATTTAGAAGTGCATCGCTCCAGTGGCTTCTCGATATTTGAAGGGGGAGAGCGTTAGCTCCCCGAAAGCGTGCGATGCAGTGACCGGTAGTGTGTAGCGGGTAGCACCGCGCTGCGCTACGAACCCGGCCACCCGAGTTCGATTCCCGCTCACAGCCAACACCGCTGAAGCGATCCTGGGCCGTCCTTAGGTCGACTCAGCCTCAAATGAGTACCTGGTGCAGTGTGTAAACATCGCCATTTGAGAGACAAAGGCTACCGGGCGTGGTGCTAACCACCCACCCCCTCGTGTGCCGTGCCGGGCTTTAAAGGTGCTCGCTAACAACACTTGCCCCAACAGTCTGTTAAGTCTATACGAGGGATCTTTGCCTTTGTGGTGAGATGCTACTGTGAGCGAGCCTTCGCGCACTGCTTCACGTGGGCTCGGAGTGCACCTGGCCTGGCACAAGCGCCGTGGTGACGCCAACACCGCCACTGAGTTGTCGTGTTGTTGTTGTTGTGACGGTGCCGTGGTGTGACGGCCAGCAGGGGATTTGCAATGCAAAAAGGTTGCCGGTGCCATCTCTCGGCACACGGCAGTTCAATCAACAGCAGCGTGAACTTGTATGGGCGTCACGGTGGCTTTGAGATGTTAACTACCTCGCCTGATGTACAGGAGGTCGTGAGTTCGATCCCGACCCTGACGCCTGCTGTATATTTGGAGTTTGCGTGTCTCTCTCTCCTCGTGGTCGCGTGGAATTTTTTTATATTCGGGCCCTCCGGTTTTCCCCTCTACATTTGTCTGCGATACATCCCACGTGGTGGTGACAAGCCACGCAGTTGAGCTACCATTTGTGGCCAGGTCGCGTCTGAAAAATATCTATACAGATCAGCGGGCCTTACCTGGTGGAAAAACTTTCGTTTCGTTTTTAGTTTAACTGTAGACCACAATTAGTCGATCGGCAGATTGCGTGTAAAGTCTGGCCAGTGTGGACGAGTAGACCAAATGCTCTCTCTGTCGAGTGGGCTCACTACACCCCCCCCCTCCCCAGTGCAGGTCCCTTCTGCCAGCAGTGACGTAAGCAACCGCGATTTCAGGGCTGCGCCTTTACCCCATGCAATCGTCGTGCAAATCAGCGTTACGATCTGCCTCGTGACCGACGCTTTTCAATAATCCGCGCACGTGGCCCGGCGTGACACGTGGGTTGGAGACGCGAACATTGACAGCGGATGAGAGATAGTGGCAAAAGAAAATTACGAAAGGTTCGCAAATGAAGGCGGAGAGATGCACACCTGGAATTGCATTCGAGAGGCGATGGGACTTTGAACGCGTGTATCGGAGAAACAGACGCAAATTAGAGAGTTCTAGATTTAAAGCTTTCGTGACTGCAAGGATCCATACTCTTTGATCCTATTCGGTAAAGTCCTCGAGACAGCCTGATCTCTTCACCTGATGAAGGCCGCTTGTGTTGTGGCCGAAACGTCGTGATTTTTGTTGTTTTATTTTTTACCTACGTGACTTTACCGAATAGAACCAAAGAGTATGCAAATTAGAGAGGTCACATTGACTGTCATGACATGGTAAGGGCGGGCTTGGGCAGGAACAGGAGCATAGCTAGCAGCGTGGGGCAGGCTGAGGATGGCTTGACCCCCCCCCCCCCACCTCCCGTGGTGGCAAAAGGTACGAGTTGGGCACCCCTTGACGACCACCGTAAGATCTGTTTTCAACAACAAGTGTCAACAACAACATCTTTTTGCACAGCGTTAAATGTTCGAGACCGTGAGCAAAACGATGATGTGATTAGGCAAGAGGAGCCCCGATGTGTATATATATAATCATAGCCCCTAGGTGCGACCGTGCGCGACAAATCAAATATTGGGGGCCCCACCTGGCCGATCGCCGCATCCCCCCCCCCCCCCCGAGCTGATAACGTCGTCACTACGCCAGTGGGCAGGACGCGTCGCTAGAACGAGGAGGAAGAGGCGGCATGACGGCTGATGGTCAAGAAGGAGATGAACGGAGTGGCAGGGCCAAGGATCGCGAGGAGGAGGAGGACGCGCACCCTCTCGCAGTGCAGCCCCGGCACCGTCCGTCGTCGCCGCGAGGATCGCAAGAAGTGGCGGCGGATTCGGGAGGCCTTCCTTCATCCAGCAGTGGATTGACCACGTCCGACTACTACGTTGATGATGATAGTGACAATATCAATATTAACTGGGCTTGGGCAGTTCTGGATATGCGATTAAACACGCGCGCGCGCGCACACACACACACACAAAAAGTCCCCGTACAATCAAATAAATAATCATCACCATGATGATGTTGTTGATGAATCATTCCATAACCGATATCCGGCAGCGACATTCCTTGTTCTGCTTCAACGCGCGTGGAGAATGAGCTCGAGGGCCGTGAGCTCAGGGCCCGCTAATTGAATTAAGAGCGGCAGCCGGCGGCGGCGGCGGCACGGTTCCGTTACGACCCCCCACCTGCGCCACCTTCACTGCACGGAGGCGCTAGTCACCAACACCGCCGCCACCAGCAATGAGCAACTGGTGGAAATTCCACATTCTCATGGCGGGGTTATGGGGTGGGGGCGGGGGGCTAGTCCATTCATTGGACAACCACTGCAGACTGCAAACTTCACGCAGTGGTACTCATTGACAACAGAGGAATGCACGGGGTGAGTCAACACCTCCTGCTCCACTTGTACGTATGTTGAACTTCTTTCTCACCGTACGTAGACAACCTTGCGAATCGGACACGGTGGGGGGGTGGGAGGGGGGACAACAAACCAAACACAAAAAAACAGTTCTGAATAAGCTAGTTTTCAATTTAGATCTAAAAGTTAATAGCTCCAGCGGCTTCCAAATATCGGAAGGAAAAGCGTTCCAGACGGCCGCAGCATCGCACCTGAAAGCGCCGTGAGATGCGGTGACCACCGCCTTTGTTCGATGGCTCTCCCAAAAGCCGCTGCTGTGTCCTCCACTCGTCTCGATCATCTGCAATTTTATTTGCGTAGTAACTGCGCGCCGCACTCCCGTACAAAATCTCGCCGCTGCTAAGTGTCTCGTAAATGTTGTTTCGGCGTCAGCCCCCCCCATTGTCCATCCGCAACACTCCCGGGCGGTGCACGAAGCGGCGAATCAATTCGGTGCACCTCGCACCGAGGAGGGCCACGCGTGTGACCTCCAGACACATCCTGTCAGCACCGGCAGCAATTCCTGCAGCTAATAATAGTGTGCGATGTCTCTCCCCCCCCCCCCCCCCCATTTACAGAGAGAACGTGCTGAACTCGCAATTCTGTTTATATGGAGAGGGAAAAAAAGTGTTCCGTATCCCAAAAATTCCGCTGCACTCTGCACCAGTTATTGAGCGCGCGTACGAATCTTACGAGTTTTGACTGAATGATAATAATGATAACACTGCAAGAGCTATGCGTACCAAAACAGAAGTGTGTGCGTTTTAATACATGCCCTCTCAGAATGATTACGGTTGACTTGCCAATTCATGACGAAGCGAATTGGCCACTCACTGACACACCAAATATTCACGTATTTACCGTATTATAAGATTCACCCACCTCATTCCCAGTGTATTTTAAAGAAAGGTTTTGAGTTCATCTTGTAATCTTGTAGGTGTGTGTGACCTCATTTATACAACCTTACTGGCGTCAGGTATAAGTTGTGTGCAGCTTGTAACTTGGAGAATACGGTAGTCCATAAATGGACTCATACGTTCCCCAAAATCCAAAACATCAGTCGCATAATAGGGTTAATCACGCGAATAGCATGAATACAAGCAATCCGTGGCTGTACACGTCAACAGAAAATACCCGAAAACGCACACCGAGGTTAAATGTTGGTAAACCTTCGTTTGGATCACCGCGTGTCGTATTCCCATTACAGGACGTATATTTCGCCAAATTGTTTTTGGCATTGTCCTTACAAAGTGTCATTTTTGGCCTCAAATTGGGTGAAGAGGGAGGCTGTCACACGAGATGGGATTTAGACCCAGCAGTGCATCCAGAATCAGATTTGTGAGAGGCACGGCACGGGTCGGAAGAAAATCAAAATGACCAATGCTCGCAAGCTCAAGCGAGTGCGTGCACACGCAGACACAAATGTACACAAAGATCCCCCATGGGCCTATAGACTGTTGAGGCAGTGCTGCTGTTCGCGAGCACCCATTAACGGCGGCACGGTGTGTGAGCGGATGGCGTGGTCAGCACTATGATCGGCCGCCTTTGTCTACCCCCAGTGCTGATGTTTACACACAACAGGTGTTGATTGGAGGCCGAGTCGAGCTAGGGGGTGCACGGGAACAGTTCTGATACAACTAATCGCCGATGTTGGGTGCTGCCAAGAATTAAACTCGGGTGACGGGTGAGTTCCTGACGCAACGTATGCACGAGCGCATACAGATAAAGATTCCGGGTACAGCCTTGATACAGACTGTTGGGACAAGTGCGATTCGTGAGCACCTATGAAGGCCAGCATGGCACACGTGAGGGTGTTGGCCAAGACCACGCCCGGCCGAGTTTGCCTCTGCATTGCCGATGTTCATTACACACTGCAACAGGTACTCATTGAAAGCTGAGTAGACCTAGGGGAGACCCAGGACCGATCGAGCTATTCGTCACTGGCTGTGAGTGGGGAATCAAAAGGTCATCGGGGTTCATAGCGCAGTGCGCCAACTACCCCACCGTTCCCCACCAAAGACACACGTTTTACACGGAGGGGGTGCAGTTTAAACATTTTAATATACAATTTTACACACATTCTATTATGTATACGCTGAAAGTTATTACAGGCACTGGCATCAGCAAGTGCACCATTGTTTAAGAAACACAGGGAAGCTTTAAAATTAGCCGAACACAATCTGAGAAGCAAACCACGTCTCGCGTCGATACAAATGAAGTTTGTATTAAAAAGAAAAATGTGGACACAAGATCGTAAAAACGTTTATCCCAACAGAGATATTTAAAGAAAAATGCATTTTCACAAGGAAAATGTTACACGCCGCACACATGCACGTTATGTATATGAATTTAGTCTGCACGCCACCCACGCACAAAGCCAATGTGCGCCGATCAGATGGAACAAGCAAATGACACCGTGCGAGCGATTTCCTTTACGTTGTTTTGTTAATGCTCCGCTAAAGTTAAAGCAAAGAAAAGGTTATACAATCGATGCCTGCTTTAAAATGTCTGTTGCTTCGTATTGATTACCATTTCATTAAATTATTATTACTTTTTACCCGCCACACGCTGCCAAAAGTTCGTTTTGTTCAGTGACACGGGTTTCAGAAGGCGCAATTTGAGTCAAAAACCCACCAGCTGGGCCCCTAACCTTTCAAGCTCTTACCGAAATACAAGGCCTTTGTTTTTTTTCTATATATATTTTTTGTTTAAAGGAGCACCGTATGAGTACAGTATAAACGCGCGGAGGAATCTCAACCGTGAACATCGGCGGTGTTGGATCCCCCCCCCCCCCCCCATAGGGTGAGAAAGAAAAAACCGGAGTAAATAAGAGGCGTCTCTCTTTTAATCCAATATATAATAAATAACAAGTTACAGGTTATAAATAAACTCAACGAGGAAATAAACACGTGAATAAAATGCTACGCGTAATCCATAAAACGTCATGGGGTTATTGGACGTGTTAATAATAGGGGTGTGCGACAGGGCTGTTAGGCAGAAAGATTCGGGATTTTTGTTTTCAATCCGGGAGTACACTTCTTTGCTTGATCATCGTGCCGAGCAATCCGACACACGCAGGTGAGGACCCAAACTAATTCACCACCAGCACCACCACCGTCACTTACAACAGTTTCCATCGAGAGTGAAATGGGCCGATGGTACCAAGCAATTTATCACTGTGGGTTTTCATTAGAAGTGAGTTTCGGTTCCGTGTTTTTTTTATTCTCCAGGCTTTACTTTGCGAGCCAAATTATATTAATTTATGCAGCCAATAACCAAAATACTGTCGGAACGCTCCCGATCCCATCAGTTCTCGGAAGCCGAGCAAGCGTTGTGCCTGGATCGTGCTTGGATGAATGACCACCACGCACGAAACAAGTGCTGTAGCCGCTGCCTGGCTACATTGTCAGCAGAGGGCTCAGCTCCAACCTTCACCAACAACCGGCAATGACCAGCGTGGCCAAGTCAAATAAGGCCCACGACCCACACGGCATTGAGGCCACCCTCATCCAGCAGCAGCGGACTGACAAAACGGGCTGTGCATGCACACACGTAAGCGCGCTTGTAGATGAGAACGTTTCCATTTGCATTCGGAACGCAATGTAAATCCAAACTCAAATCTACCGCATTGCTTGGTTTACTTTAAATTGAATAGGAAAACAAGGGGGGCCTACAGACAAAAGATTTGGGTGGAGAATGGCGGAAGTGGGTGGTGGGCTTGGGGGAGGAAACAGCGCCGTCCGCTTGTCCGAGGCGAGCGCCGCCGCCCTCTTAATGGGCCTGGGAGTGCCCGTGTTTGGCGACGACCTCCGTAGGGCACACGCATCGATGCGTGAAAGGCAAGTGCCAGTCGGCGTTCGCCGCGAGCGGATCAATTGGCGGCGTTCGACCAAACTCTACGCCGACAGCTCTGTCCACCCCCCTCTCGCTTTGCCGTGCGGCTGGGCTCTTGTCCTTCTGCCTGCGTCTGAGTCGACCGGCCGGCCGGCTGGCCGGCCGGCCTGCAACTGTCCGTTCGTGTAAACAACACGAGCACTTTTGTCTGTAAGCGCGTGTCGGATCATTGAATGTTTGTACGTCTGTGCGTCTCGCTCGGCCCGTGCGAGATTCTATACTTCGACGACGGTAACGAGCCAACTTTGGCAAACGTCATTCCCATTTTTTTAAACCGAATGATCGCCGGAAGGTATTACAAGTTCAAGAAACAATACACGTTTGTAAGAACATGCATGGCGTTAACCTAATTTCAAGCTTATAACAAAGCAATCAGTGGCTTATTTCTCTTCATTAACTACTTCGCTTCTGATAGAGCTGACATTTCTTGTAAAAACTGTCAATTCAGTACGTGTATCAGTCACTCATGATGAAGCTTCTACACAGCATGGTTTTGTATAAAAGATAAAGATATTTAATTTTTTGTCGATGAAAGAGGCCGAAACTTTGACACTTCCCAGAAATTAACAAGGAAATGTTTTTTTTGTATCATGAAATTGTGTACATTCACAGAAGTGGTAGGTTCCAATATACACTGCATATATACACACACCGTACATAAGAAGAAAGTCTAAACATTGACTAGCCAAACAAAATTATGCAAGCCTAATATGCTAGGCATATTTGCATGAAATTAACATAATTTAAATAATAGCAGAGATGAGCGTTCTGGAAAAGCAAATATAAGCAGGTCTGTGCCGACATTGTATATTCAAATGAAGGCTACCGTCTCATATTGTGTTTTTCAACTAAACGTATTGTATGTATCGCAACACGTCAAATGTGCTCTTGTAAAGCCCTTTCTGTCCCCCATTTAATGACCAAGGAGAGTGGTGCTTGTTGGTGTCAGCTGAGTCCTCTGACGAATCAGGCGAGAGCCCAAAGAAATTCGTAATTTTATTTTACACGACAGACCTCGGTAAACCATCGTCGCGAAGAAGCGATTTTTTTCTCTCTCCTTTAAAATTTACTTAAGGGTCATTTTCAAATGAACGGGCTGGCCATGACAAACCCTGCATTTCATGAAGTAAAAATCGATGGCAAAAAGAGGTTTCACTTTGCTCTTCCACTTGTGTACACACTTCACGGTTCAAATTACCCCCGCATAGCGTTTCGACAGCGCCGACGCACCTCGCAAGCATGCCGCCCGAAGACCATTCAACGCGCCACACTAATCCCCTATCCTCTCGACAAGACCGACGTTCCCAGCCTCATCCACGTGCTACAAAAGCCTTCTCTCTCCCCCCCCCCCCCCGCAAACCGCCAACACAGCCGACGTTTTTTCGTAAATCATGACGGACGCCGCGGCCGTCTTTGCGTCTGCGCCTACTCGCCCAGCGAGAAGCCACGCCGCACCCGCGCGAGCAAGTGAATCCCACCGGGCTGCTGCCGTGGTGTGACCCACTGGCAGGGCGCGCTGCAGCTGAAATCAATCTCCCGGCGAGCGGCGAAACGGCACTCGCTCCTTGCGTTGCAAGGATTCAACATCCATTGTGTGCACGCGTGTCTAGAGCAGGCAGCGCTGCATGCTTTCGCCAGGTGTCCTCTTTCAAGTAACCAAAGCATTGCTCTGTGGAACCGAGTCCAAAAAAATCACGGCACTGGAGCGAGTCTCGGCACTGATTTTAGTCCCCAAATGCACTTTGCGTTCCGAGTTTGGTTTGCACAACACAAGCAAAAACAACAGAAAATTTCTATGGCACATCTGCAAGCCCATGACGATATGTTCACCGGTGAGTTTTGTTTTGCTGATGTAAAATGCGCCTAGACATGAGCAGTTCACTTTAAGAGAATGTCAGCAAAGCTTGCGTTTCGCTGTACTGCGGGCCAAGAGGCTACTTTTTGTGCTTTAAGACTTTTCATGACCAAGTGAAATTTGCCATGTAGTTGAGTCAATATTGTCATGACGAACATAAACTAAACAAACTCTATCACGGTGGAGCCCACTGCGCCAAAGTGCATGGCGCCTCCACGTCACAAAAGCCTGGCTAAAGCTCATGCCGGCACTGTTATGCTGTGGTTGGACACACCTGCATATCACCATTCATTTGAATGACCACGAAGCAGAAATAACATAAAAAAATCACCTACTTCAAGTGACTCCCAAATTGGTAAAGTGTTTGCAACGTCGCCGCAATAAAACGTGTAACGTTATTAACCCAATTTTCGTTTTCGTTTTATTACGTTAAAAGCCTTCATTGCACCACCGAACGGATTCCGAAAATGTCACTGCCGGCTGACGCACCCCGCAGACAGCAAAGTCCGATTTTTCTCAACGCCCCCGCGCCGACCTACAAGTTCTCCCATCGATGAGCGACACACTGACCCCCGAAGTCGGTGGAGCAAGTGGAACACTGGTGAGCACCGCCACACCTGGCCAAGTGCATGGCTCTTATTAAAGAAAAAAAAACACTACTTTAAAAATCTAATCGCGCCCCAGCCACAACGGTGGAAAAATCCAAACCGTTAAATAATGCCCTCAACTGTGCCAGGGTTGCCGAGATGAAGAGGACATTGTGCACTGGAAACAAAAAGTAAAACATTTCTTACATGATTCCTTGTGTTGACGAGGACCCTTGTGTTTGTTCCATCAAGTATACGCCACATCCACGTTTTCCCATTGCATAACAATTCAGTTAGGATGCTGCATCACTTGCTAACCCTAAGTAATCAATAAGTTAAACTTTCAAAGTCTGTTACGCCAGTTATAATTGGACGCAAAATTGATGCAACGGGTTTCCTCTTTTGTCGTAGCTACCACCGTCACAATGACAAATACATTTTTAAATGTTGTACTTTGTGGCCTATGACCTGACCACTTCAATGGATGCCATCAACAACACGACGTGACCAACAAACATAACAAAATCTGCATACGTTTCATCTCATTTCAAACCTATTCTGCTTCTTTCTGATATAAAAGTGGAAGGCAAGGTTAAAAAAAAATCCACTCATCTCACATCTCATTTTTCACTTCAATATGTAATGAGATGTGCAATGTAAATAAATGAGGCTTCCTAGAATTACCAAACGGGTCAATCCAGGATAAATACAAAATAATCGTGAAACAAATGACAAGACTTGTCATTATGATGCTACAAAGGGAGATTGGGGAACCTCATCATAGCAGTGCTCTCCAAAACGGGCCACACCAAAGCCTTGTACACTCCAATCAAAACCCTGAAAGGGAACGACGCCATGCAATCGGAGCTCAGTAAGAATTGTGGAAGATATAGAAGGGGGGAGGGGGGGGGGGGTTATCCATCCGGCTGGCCGGCCCAGGAGGAATATCCTAGCTTAACTCTCGCGGGCGGAACGCTGCAGGTTGTAAAAAAAACACACAAAGACGCATGCCATCGACAAGGGCGCAAAACAGGCAGGCAGCGTTCGCTTTTAAATGAAACTACGCGGACATTCGAGACAGATGTGAGCCGATAGCTTCCAATGGAGGGGGAGGGCACGGTGAATATTGAGCAGCAGCAGTGGCATTGATAGCGCTTGACCACTTTGAGTAAATGCAGGGCCCATATTTACCGAGGGGTTCACCACATTTTAAAGCCCTGTTGAGTAAAAATTTTGCACGTTTTCATTTTCGTCAATTTTTTTTTTTAAATCATATCCGCCTTCACTCCACGATGGCGGCAATGGAACACATTGTAAAAGTGCAATTTTTATTAACAGCGTCCGGAGTTATAAACAGCGTCCTGTTAGCCCCTCACCTATAACGCAATTCGGATGGGCGGTTTCTCGTCTCTTTTGCCATATTCTTGACTTAATAAGACGTTTTGAACGAGGGCAAAAAAATGTTGCAGTGGCTTCTATTTGTTTTTTCCTCTCTCTGCGGCCGTTTAAACTCCATAATAACCAATGCAGCATGTGTACAAACGCACGCGCAAAGTCAAGGGTCCATTCGAAAAGCAACATCCGACACGCATGCAGAGAGAAGGCGGTGGCGAGCGGTCACGGTGTGAGCCGAGCTGCACGCGGGGCGACAGGTGCCCGTGTCCGGAGATGAAACCGCTTCCCGAGACGTGCTTTGGTGGATGTCGAGCCGGCACAGCAAGGAAGGGCAGACAAACTAAATGGATGGCCACACGTGGGAAAAAAAGGGTGTTCTTGCGATGGCCAAGAACACCTCGCTCTCTCTCGGAACACTTGCAGGATCCAAGAGTTCCCACTTGCTGCACGTTTGGACTTGGTGGTCCCGTTTGTTTTGCAGACTGCTTCGCCCCCCCCCCCCCCCCCCGCCCCACTGCTGCTCACGCATGTGTTACAATGAGGCAATCCCGGAGTCAACTTTACCTTCGTTGTGGGTTCCCCGCGTGGATTCGCATTGCTCACTTGCTCCACTGGCCGACAATGCCCGCCGAATGCGAGCTCCGCTGCTCTTCCCACCGGACTGCACCATGACCGGATGACCACAACCGTGACGACAGTTCAGAGGGCTCGATGCGAACACGGCCAGGGCCATGAAGCGAAGCATTTGTCCCCAGTTCGACGCGGCTTCCTCTTTTCTCCTTGCTTATCTTCAGCAATGTTAATACATCTTTAAAAAAAAAAACATACGCTATCGTAGCAATAACAATTTTATGACGAACGAAATTTTAATAACAAAATCCCAGTGAAGCTTTTGTGTGGAGGGGGGGGGGGGGGGGGGGGAGACGACGGAGACGACGGAGGGAGGAGGAGGAAGGCACGGGCTGAGAGAGCGGGCTCATGCCGCCCTCTCACGACTGCTTTAAGCGCTTGCGAGGGAAGCCGAGCGGCGGGCACTGTGCCGTGGCAAGCGCCCGGAAGGCATCCGCCACCAGGTGCGGGTGGGAGCGGATCATGGCCTTCCAGCCTGGCGTCTCCATCACGTCGGCCGCGTGGCTGCGGGGGGAGGAACAGGCGAGGGAGAGGTGGGGGGGGGGGTCAGGAAAATAAATAACAGCGACCACCTATACGGCCAACTCTTAATGCTTCCTGTGAACGAAGAGGAGCTCATCAAGAACGCAAAAGCGCGTGCAGCAATCATCCAAGTAAGCCAAACCGTAATATTGTCACTTCAACGGTGCACCCTAATCCATGGGCCATGCGATAACTGTCACCTCAAGCGTAATATTACACGCAAAATGTGATCGAGACACCGAAAGTGCAATTGTGACCACCAGATCCGTTCTCCCATAATGCTCTGCATGGCAAGTGACGTCATCGCTATGTGTGTATATAAAAAACACACAGCCTTTTCTTAGGCCACAAAAGTCAAGAGTAAAAAAAAGTTATTATTATGGCTAATACATCGAGACAGTATGGTAATGTCGTGCAACATCAAAGGTACGATGGGAGGACTTATCTTACAGTAACAACTGCTCCTGCAGCTCTCTGGAAATAACCTCTTGCATGTGTTATTATTACTCTTAAAAGGGACAGCTAACACGTGGCACAACTTGGGTAAAGGGACCATGAACCTCCTGATCGGTTCCCCAATAAGTGCTGTTATTTTTCAAGTGAATACGTAACTCACGGTTACCGCTATAATGTGCAACATTTAGTTAAGGGCATCGTGGCTTCTGATCGCGAATTCAGATTACGGACATGGTAAAATCATCGTCACCACCACCACCATCATCATCATCATCACGAAACCTCTGGTGGGGCAAAAAACAACGATCGCCACCTGCCGATGTTGCTCCACTGCATGGGAAACCAACAGCCGTTAATCCTCGACGCGGCAAAAACATTTTCACCCCGTAATTAATGCACAGCAGCGACGCTCACCAGGCACTAAATGAAGCCGACCGAATGGGGATTAAAGGGTTACTGGCGACGGCGAGAGGCAAATTAAATTGAGACGGCGCGACGCTGAGTGAGCTCGGCACATCGGGGGCCCCAACGACGAAAAAGGGAGGGGGGCGCAAACACTGGGAAATCGGGCTCTCTGGGGAGCGTTCCTCGCGCGACGGCCATCGATCGTGCGTGAGCTATGGACTGCATCCCCGCCGGGCCTCCGCCCGCACATCAATCGGCAGCGCAAGCTCCAAAACGCGGGCGGACAAAACGCCGCCGCACTGCTCGCACGCCAAATATAGCCACCGATGCCGGGCACCCTGCGGGTGGAGCAGATGCTGCTCATGAAACAATACAATTACAATGCTGTGGGTTTGTATAGCGTCTCGATGCGACGGTATCTTCAAGATGCCGCCCAGGAACGGGCGTGCATGTTTGCATTGTGAGGTTTCATTATTTACCCAGGAAAGTTTCTCAATGTTAAGAGTTGAGCGAGGGTCTTTGCCCGACATGTTTTGCTAGAAACAGACAGAACAATTATGTTTGACCACGTGACAGCCCATTAACACCCAGGCAAGTGTCTCTGGCACAAATATAGAAATGCCACCGCACAAGGGAAAATGTAACCGAAATTTAAAGTCATAAGCAAATCATGCAATTGTAAAGAATGAAGAGGGGGAAACACGTTCAACATAACACAAATCAAATGTGATCAAAACTATGAGGCCGATTGCGATTGCGGGCATCTGCGTGTGGGAGGAATCTGGGGTGCCTGGAGAAAGCAACGTGAATGAGCGACTAACCACACGGGCACAAGGGTCAGAAACCTTGCTGCTGCTACGCTCGTCCTGGTCGACACCTTGCCAGTGTGCGTCAAATACACAGTGGCGACGGCCCAAAGATCCCCGCGCGATCCACCACCGCGCACCTCAAAGTCACTCTATTACAGGCATGTGCGCCATCGCATGCAGCAAATACATTTACATTTTTGTTATGCACGCAGAGATAATGACGTGACTAATTAGCTGTAACAATTCATTAGCGTGGCTTGCTTAGTGTGGTAACCGCTACAGCCGTTTGCCCTCAAGCATACGCAGCGCATTTATAAAATGTGACGGTATACACTTGTTTGCGGAGGTTTTTTTTGGTTCCCTTGAAACGTGCTCATAACTGCAGTCTAGCGTTTATGTTCGGAAATAAGTTTCGTGACCTATCAAACTTTCCAAGAGTTTAAACTCTTTGCCAACGGGTCAACACGTATGACTTCGAATATCTCTGCATGCCAATTTCGCTTTCATCGCGCATGGAGCGATAGGTCAGCGACATCAACTATCCGCGGCACTTCACTCCGCCCCTTCCCCGCAACCAAATAATAAAAAAGACGGGCACATTACCACACAACAACGTGCTAGACGCGAGCCTCCCACTCACTCTTCATCACCATTGTAATTCGCGATCCCTTTAGCTCAACTGTTTAACAGTTCCAGAGCTGGCACGGAGTCTCTACGCGACAGCGGAGACCGAACAAATTGGCACTGCTGCTCAATGTGCTCCCCCAGCTGGGAAAAAAGAGCGTGGTGGATTTTACAATGAAGCTAATGATATTTGACCGTGCGCTAATTTTTTTTTTTTCACCGACTGCCTTTGAACGATGGAGCTGGGGTGAGCGCGCATTTGTTTTGAGGGGCGTGCGTGAACCGTTTCACGAATGACGCGGACAAAAACTTGGGGCCAAAAAAGCACGTCAAACGAGGGAAACCCCGGCCCGGGGAAATAAAGATTCACGCGTTATTTGTTCACTCAACCGCGCGCGTGAAAGGCGGCCCAGTGGTGACACATGTGCCGGACAAACACAGAGTGGCTTTATTAAAACGCCCAGAGGCTACAACTTACACGCACTCTCACCCATGCCCCTCTCGAAAATGCGCACCACTCCCGAGAGTGAGCAATAAGCGCTTTTAATAGACGTCATCATGACACAAATGGCACGGCTTGTTTGCGCAGTGTCATCAAGTTCGCCGCCAATATGCCTCGTCGGCAGATTCCAGTCACTAAACAGGGCACACGTTTTGCTGGTCTTCACTGCGGCTCATTAACAAGTAACACCTTCACCACGTCGCTGCATAGAAAGGCGCCTTTTGTTAGACTCCTGTTATTTTTAAAGGATGCAACTCAAAGAACAAATAGGTCTCTTGGATATGTACTCAGGCTCTATGTCCTGGGCTGTCCATCCCAAGTGAGACAAAAAAAATACTTATAAAATCACAGAAATTAACGATCGTATGCCAGACAAGTCAACGATGTCGCTCCCATGCGTTTTAATACGACCATGCAGTGATGTTACTAGAATGCTACAATGAAGCGCACGATCGCCATTTAAAATCTTCACATTCGTATTCTATTGGGCAGCCTTTATAACAGACAGTCAAGGTAGGAATCCACCGAATAAGTGCTATTTATTTTTTGCGTTGCGACTCCCTTTGCATCATCGTACCCCCTGTACGAAAACGCTGAAAGCCAACACTTAACAGTCCGTGATGGCAACAAACGCATTTCAAACCCTTACGGCAAAATAAAGCCAAGCTGCCCAAGTCCATCTTTTACTTATAGAGCGGCAATATCCTTAATTGCCTGGAATGGGCCCGATCTTATCAGATCTTGGAAGCTAAGCAGGGCAGAGCGCGGATATGGATTGGATGGGTGACCAACACCTGCACGAAACAGGTGTTTGCAGGCCCACATTATCAGAATTCTGACAAATGTGCAGGGCCACATTGTCAGAATTCAGCGCGTCAAAATCCATTGTTTTACTGTACTACGCTCCCAAGTCTACAATCCCCGCAACTTCGCCAATCTGCACAAACCAACGCGGTGAAGTGCGGTCAAACAAAACCTCACGACCGGCACGGCATGGGGAGGACCCCCTCCCCCACCCTATCCAGCATTGGATCGCTGCATCGTTACCCGTAAAGGCCACCACTGTCAAATTTCTGCTCCCAAAGTTGACAAAACGCCGAACAAAATGACGCGAGCGTCTCGGTTTTTTTTCCGGGGACGCCGCAGCCTCTTCACCCGTGGGGGTTTTAGCGAGCGCGTCGACGACGTCGCTGCTTCACCTGTTGATGAACTCGATGGCCTGGGCCTTGAGTTGCTCGGCGCTGTGCAGGTCGGCGAGGATCAGCGTGTCGGCCACGTTGTCCACCGACAGGTTCAAGCACAGCGCCTCCTCGCACATCACCTTCAGGCGCTCCAGCGCGTACTGCCGTCGGGAGGGTGGAGGGGGGGGAAACATAAAAAAGGGGCGAGCGCACGCAGGCGGGCTCGGCGTCAGGGACGAGGCGGCGACGTTAAGGACGACGCAATGATTGAGCGATGTTCGTAAATTGGGCAAGGGCTTTCATCACAACACCACTCATTCTCCCCGCTTCACTTATTCCCCCTCCACCCCCCACTGACTCATCATCATCGTCACCACCATCATGAATTATTACTTTGAATGTGCTTCACATGCCATTACAATTTGAAGCGCATGCAAAAACGCTGTGTCATTATCAGATGCAAATAAGCACGATATAAACATTCAGTTTCCGTCTATTTCATCGCACCATGCTCAAAAGTCATTGTTCATAGCTTATTTAACAAGAACTGGTCTTGAGGATCTTTCAGAACATATCAGAACTGATCCATGCTGGGGTATGGTAAGGCAGACTGCCTGATAACTTCAGCATGGTCAAAGCAGAGGCATTGTGCTTCACAGTTCTCATTCAAGCAACTGTCACCATTCGGAGTCACAATTCAACTCAAAGAGATATATATTTTTTCATCTCATAAGCATCAACTCACTCGTATGTACCTTGTTTGTGCTGTCTCGTTCGTTGCGTCGTGTGTTCTAACAAGTCACATTTGAAGAGATATTAACTACCTCGCCTGGTATACAGGAGGTCGTGGGTTCCATCCTGACCCTGACTCCTGCTGTATATTTGGAGTTTGCACATTCTCCCTGTGGTTGCATGAATTTTTCTCCGGGTCCTCCGGTTTTTCCCCTCCACGTTTAGAAACATGCCTTTTAGAATATTTGGCTGCTGTAAATTTTCACGCGATAAGCCACTTTGCTGAGCTATCATTTGTGGCCAGGTCGCGTCTGAAAAAAAGGTAAATAGTTCAATGGACCTTACTTGGTAAAATAAAAAATAATGGTATTGTTAATAACTGCACACATCGAAAGTAACTGACGTATTCCTACAACCACGAATCGATTCACATATCGCAAGTATACGATTCGATTTTAACCATGAAAATTGTTGCATGCTATACCAAATTGTCCACGCTCCCCCCCAACCCTCCCCCTCTACCCTAATCCCCACAGCACAGCACATCATTGGACCAACACTCACGCCCCGCAAGTTGGGAGTTTGATAGCTTCGCTCGAGTTCGGGTCCATTCATTGAGCACCTATCGGAGAGAGAAGTTGGTGGGGATGAAACACCACACCTTGTCTGCTGCCGCCAAGAGGTCGTCGGCCATCTTGGTGAGGTTTGGGGCCTTGCCCGTGTAGACGAAGCGCATCATCTCAATGAACACCTCAGGTTCCACGTCGTGAATCTCCACGCGGTTCTAAATGTGAAAGCAAGCCGAGCAAAAGCAGAAAAAAATGTTTTCAATAAAATGAAGTCAAAGCAATACAAGCTTTTGGAAAACTGTTATTCAGGCTTGGGCGGCAGAGGGATTTACAGTAACGTATGATATAGTGAACATTTGTGAAATATCTACAAAGCAAACTGAATGAAGATATCAATAACAAACCCATCTGGAGATGATAATGAGGTTCCCTAGTTCCATGGAAAAACGGAAATTTGTCAACATGCGCCATGACCTAATTATTTTTTTTCATCATTCAATGACCACTACCAGTCACTATCCACTGCTGGATGAAGGCTACCTGACACCAAAGTCATTATTCTTAGTTCTGTGTACATTCCTTCGGAAATTTTTTAATGAAATATCTAGAGATAAGTGGGTGAAAAAAAAATGTGAACTGGACCCCGACGAGCAAAGCTCAAGCTAGAAACGTGAAAGTGTTTAAGCAAATATAAGCAATGATTTTTGTGTACTCAACTCGTGAAATGTGAGAATCCAGAATTCCACGGTTATGGGAACAAAAGAATGACCCGCAGACTGACGAGCTTGATATCTCCGCCCAAAAAAAAGTCTCAAAAACGGCCCACGTATCGTTGTGTTGGTGCATGAGAGTGGCTTCTTACCAGCTTGCTTTCCTCCATTTCGTGTTCAAACATGGCATTGAAGACCGGAGATCGGGCTGTAAAACAGCATTCAGAAAAATGTATAATTGCGTGTGGGTGGGTTATCCATATCTGGATGGAGGTCAATTTTGTCAAAAGAAACCACCACCCCCCCTTCCCACACCCCCACCCCCACCACGCCAACACCTTGCTGGGTACAGAATTGAATCTCGCAAGCACACGAGCCCTGAAAGCTTTAAGTTTGTAGAACTGATCTGCATTGCATGCAGTCAAATTGCAAAATGGATATTTTGATTAATATTAATGAAAGCCATAATTCATGTCACTGCATCTTTGGAGTACATTTCATACTTTTCACCTATGAAACACTTTAGGTGCGACCAACTTTGCAAAGGGAACCGAACCCAGATTAGGCCATGCAGTTTTGCCGCATGGCAGAGAGCAAGAAAACTGGAGATGATTCGAACTGGGAAGAGTGTCTTGCTTGCAGAAACCGCTGCGAGGTCCTTCCCCACGTACAGCCATACAGACCAATGGGGCAAGCGCTGTTAGTGAGCTCCTATGAAGGCCACCAAGGCACACCAGGTAGTGGCATTGCAACCATGAATGCCCGGCTGTCTTTGAAACCCTCGTGTCGAGGTTAACACACCTCACCAAGCGCCCATTTAAAGCTGCGCACCTGTACGCCGCCCTATTTCTATCCAGTTCATTGCATGAAACACCTTAACATGTAATTTTCCAACAATCTGGCAAGCCTGTACTGATATAATGGTGCTTGACTCACACTTGGTTACAGGTTCAAATCTCAGTCAGAGTACATCTCAATTTAGCTTTATTCCAGGGGTCAGTAAAACGAGTACAGCTCATTGTGAGAGCTGAACGATGCTCGAGACTGGCCACTGCTTGAGGAATCTGGACTTTCCACTACTGGTTGAGGCACGTGAATAGATGCGAGCTCTAACCTATGCTATCTTGAGCAAACAGTGAGCATTGTTCGTCAGTCAGTCGTCAGTTTATTTCGTAACTCACCGAGCTGAGAAATTAGGATTCATCATCCAAAAATAAACCACTTTCAAAATATCATTGAGAAAATAGTGCCTCTGATATGGCTGCAGGAGGCACATAAATCAATTACGTGCGACATTTCGTAACGGGCCTCTCCGATGACCATCAAAGCTCAGCCCAACAGCCGAAACTCACCTGCAAGGATGGCCTTGTGACCCTTGAACTCTCGCCCGCTCACGCAGAGCGAGCAGTCGGTGAAACGGGACGCCTCCCACAGCAGGCCGATGTCCTCGCCCAGCTGGCACTCGGGCACCTTGAGCATGGTGCTGCTTGCGTGGCCCGAGATGTTCACCGAGTCCTGCACCACGCTCACCTGCGGCGGCGGGCGGACACGCGCACCCATGGCTTTGTCACAGCAGGCCAAGAGGCCCCGGGGGTGGCTTCTCCCGTCAGCCTTTAAAAGATAACTCTTGCCCCTTTCTGGCCACCGAGTTTATTGCTCATTGACAAAGGCTATCCAATACTTTCTGTCATATATCAGAATCAGGATCTTTTATTTATCCTGGTGAAATCCGATGAGCTATGAAGCTCTTTTTCACGGATGTCTGGTGTATGTCCTGCAGCTGACCTATTGTCTACCATGCGCCTCTTATTTCCATTGCCTGCTACTGAAGCCTTTGATCCGTCTTTCTCTAGGCCTTTCCTGCAATCGATTTCCCTATATCATAGTAGCCATAAGTGCTGGAAGTCATTGATGGTGCGTGCATTCATCGTACGATGGACAAGTTGGGAAAAATCACGCATATACATGGATTATGCAATGCTTTTCCATCAAGCGTTTTACAGAAAACAAATAAGTGCCTGCATGAAAAATAGTCTCCTTGGATCTGGTTTTGGGAATTCAGATTATGGCCAACCTTTTGGATCAATCTGGCCAGTTTTCAATTCGGCAAATCTGTAAAAGCAACACAATTTTATGCAGCGTAGTGAATCATCTCTACGTGAGTCAGTGCCCTGCAAACCCCTCCATTGCGGACGAACAGACAGAGCTTATGCATGAAGGCTTTCAACCTGAGTTGGCAAACATTGGAGAGTCAGGAGGCGGAATTACCACTCTGTTGATCAAGGTCCACTGTGGGCTAAATTTTGGAAAAACTTTGCTGATGTGTCCATTACCAATAGTGGAGTAAAATGCTGAGTCCATGTATTTTGGCTTTTTCATCGAGTAGTCAATCAATCCTGAGGCGTTACCTCGCTCATATGAGCTTGGGATGGTGCTCATTAATAGCCCCGAGCCAGTGGTGCCAATTCCACATTCCTATGGGAGATGGATAGATAACCACTGTTTAACTTCCTACAACACGATTCCCATTTTATCACCCTCAAAAATGATGCAATGTCATGACAACGACAATGCTGCTTCAATTATGTGAGTACATGCATCTTTTAAATATAATAAAACGGCCAGATATATTCTGCTCAACTCTGGGATGACAGACCTTTAAAGAAGGTCATCAGGCAGCACTGGGAGAAACATACGAGTTTTGTATTCATAAGATATCATCTGCATGCCAACCCCATCTGTAGACAACATTAGTTCCCCTGATTCCCCAAAACCAGACAATACTGTTACATTATACTTATCATTCATCCCTAATGACCAGCATTATCATTTTTGATCTAAAGTTTTCGTGACTGCAGGGATTCATATTCTTGGTTCTTTCGGTAAAGTCACGCAGAAGGGAAACAAATAATAAAAATATTAAACAATAAAATTCTCATCTATGTTCGAACATTGATGGACTCGTCCATCTGAACAAACTGTCAAATCTGTCTCCGTGGTGCTAACGTTAAAAATAACCACCACTTTTTCCAAATTTTCTTGTTGTGGTTTTCACACCTGATGATAATTGCTCGTGTTGCAGTCGAAACGTCGTGAGAATGTTATTGTTTTATATATTTTATTATTTTATTGTTTCCCTTCTACGTGACTTTACCGAAAGAACCAAGAATATATAGCATTATCATTATTAGCCACTGTCAATCCACTGCTGGATGAAGGCCTACCCACCCTACTTCCAACGCTCATGGTTCTCTGGTGCCACAATTCATCTCACTGCTGCACAGGAATTTATAGCGTCGCTATAACTAAACGGAACTATTTTTTGTTTATTTGACCAGGTAAGGCCCACCGAGCTATAGAGCTCTTTTTCAGAAGCAACCTGGCCACACATGATAGCTCAACGAAGTGGCTTATCATGTGGAACGTTACAGCAGCCGAATGCTCTTAAAGCATGTTTCTTGTGGAGGGTAAAACCAGAGGACCGAGAGAAAAATCCACGCGACCACCGGGAGAACATGCAAACTCAAAATATACAACAGGCGTCAGGATCGAGAAAGAACCCACGACCTCCTGCATACCAGGCGAGGTAGTTAACATCTCGCCACTGTGGTGCCCGTCATGCTCTCAGACTCCTTTGCTCCTTTGGATGCCCCTTCCACCATCGCCAGCCTTGACCATCGGCCATCATCTCACCAAGCGATGTCCTGCCCGATCCCACAACTTTTCTTAGTGGTCAATATGACGTCCCTGAGGAGCGTCCGTTTCCAGATAATAATTGACTTTCATCAAGAAATAAACAAGACAATAGTTTTCTATTTACTTAATGCTATAGCCACAGGATTTAATACCCATCAAAAAAAATCCACCAACGTATCTATCACTCATGCATCCAGGCTCTTTACATGTACAGACAGGGCAGACACATAAATGTATCTACCGAACAATTCAAAGACCCAAAGGAGTGTGGAAAAAAATCAAGTCGAGTACAGAATCGTTTAGCACATGCTCCTTGTAAGAGCGTGTTTACAGAAAAAGCACTCGCACACAGGACTCACGGTGCTTTTAAAAAATGTACCGAGTAGGTGCCAAAATGTGCCCTTTGCCAGTAACATCCAGCTCGCTGCCAGTGATCAACCAATGTGCACAAAAAAGACGTAGGCTATTCAACAAAAATAAAATAGTACTAACATTCTCCAAAAGCTTAGTTTCACAGCACGTCACAACGCTTTGGCAATGCAATTTCAAGAGTGTGCTTGTAACTTTTAAACGAACATGTTCCAATGGGCAAAGCAAAAAAAATTACAGCATGTTATACTTTTCCACATTTGCGCATGAGGATTTTTTAATTATAACTATGACTATGAAATATAAATTCTAAACTAAGTTTTCAGGATAAAGCTTAAGGCATACTTTCAAAATGTAATCCTATCTGAACATTTTTTTGCCCGCAGCCATACGCACTTCACAGCTTAATTGCATCAGACTACAGATACTCAATAATTCTGGGCCTGGTCACTATTCGGATGGGCGCCCACCAACGGACACATTCCAGAAATACGTGGCGCCTATGGCTCCACCGGCAATGCATTTCCCAATGGATGCCATCAGTGCGAGAGGTGGAGGCATCTCTGTGGTTTTCGGTATACACATCAATTTAACTTCCTTTTATGTGATGGTCCATAGAGGCTCATTATCTCGTTGGCAAGAAAGGCTTTGCTAAACATATCTACAGAGGCATATCTTTTTTTCTTTAAGCAATTTAATCGTGGGTCATTTGTCAAATATGGTGCTTAGGCTATGACCTGAGTAAATAATAGCACGCTGCTACCAAATGATATGTCAGGGTCTTTAACATCTGCTTTACACCAGACGACACACTTTGGTGATTTTTTGAGTAAATTGGTTTGACTCAAATATAACAGATCGCGCTGCGTGGTTAAACAGAACGGTGAACGGTCCACAAGATGAAACCTGGCTTATCTACTATGTGCACACGCTCAAAAACGGAAGGCTCTAAAAACGTATCACAACCCCAGCACTCGTGTCAATGCATGAGATCCAGTGCATGGTGCTTCGTTGACTTGATTTTACTCGGTACAAGATGATGAAATAAAGGCAGATAAACATGATACAGAAACACAGGTGCAAAGAGTGCCATGCAAAAAAAAAACTAATTGTGGGAGTCGCAATCGCGCGCATTCGTTACTTGCGCTGGCGTGTACCATCTGCGCCGTGGAAACAAGATCTCTCCCGGGACCAGCTTCCGTCGCTTGCACGCCAACCGCGGTGCTTTATTAGAGAGCTACGGTTTTAAAAATCAAACGGCAATAATAATGTCCCCTTTAATGTAAAGACTCAAAGCACAGGCAGGTACTAAGCCACTGCGCCTGTGGAGGCCAAAATATATTTTATGGTCAAGAGACAAAGCGAACGAGCGATAACCTGATTAATGTTCCACTTCCGTCAAACGAAAACACATGGCGGCCTTGATAGCTTCATTGCAATGTGCAATTAAAGCCAAACATTTGTAAAAAAAAAATGTTCGCTAAACAATTATATTATTTGAAACGACGTACGTACAAAGTTAAAGTAATCTGTAATTCAGTGCCCTACGCTTTCATCATACACATGCTGACACGTCTGTGTATTTGTCAGCCTGAGTGAAGGGTCAGACGCAAGTACGGTGTATTTCCTCTCATGATCTCACTCAGACTGCTCATTATTGAGTCACTACAAACAGATGTACGCATTCTATTGAATCTCCAAAAATAAAGGGCACTTATTAAATTCATGGCAAGGAAAAACACTGCCACAGTATGGATGTGAAAATGCATTGGGACTTGTTCAAATGAATAGGGCCTGTAATAAAATGTTGGTCAAGTGCATTTGCTCAACCCAGAGTGCCTTTTTAGTAACAAGATAAAGCAAATGCAGCGCTTGCTAACCGTCGCAAATTACAACATCATTACGGCAGAAAGTCACGCACATTGTTCGCATTAGTACTGCGAGTAGGTGCTCAAACTTTTTGTTATCGGCTTGGCAGAAGGTTTGCAATGGTAATTATTTTGACGAGTTACTAGACGGTGTATTTATGTGAAATTTACTTTCACTGATCAAACATCGATGTAAATTAAAAGCGGCCTAAAACATCCAGCAGGTTTCAGTAGAGGCATAAAGAAACGTGTAACTAGTGAGTATAGCTTTCATTTATAGTTTTTATTTAAAAGTAAACCTTTACACTGGAAGGCATTTTCCCATGTGCAAAAAATCTCAAATTAACAGCAATAATTGCTCCGACAATAATTAAATGTGAATACTCAAAGCAAAGACTAAAGATTTAATATGAATGGATAGAGTAAAGTCTGAAGGATATACGGCCAAAATGTATATATCAACTAAAAATTCTGAAGCTTGGCAACATTTCAGACAATTTAAATATATATATGGTACCTTGTAAATAAAAGCAGTAGTGATTAAAAACTAAGTCCTTTCATGGCAATTTAAACAAACACCAAATTGGTTTTAAAATGTATGCCTTGTTTTGCAATATATTTACATTTCAAACGTTTGGCACTTTAATGAACATATTTATGATCTCTTATTGAAATAAAACACCAAAAAAGGATTCCATTGCACACAATGAATCAAAGGAATTCAATTAAACCCTGGCAAGTGTTATGTGATACCCATTGTAACGGGGAAATATTTTTCTTGCGTCAAAACTAATTTTCCCCGTTCCTCCGAACAGCAGCCACGTAATCAACGAGCAATTAAGGGCCCTCCTTCTAATTCTACCACAGCTGCCAAAGGAAGCCAAATCAATCAGGTGCCCCCAATGGCCAATATTTACCAATTAGCAATGACAAGAGCACAGTCATCCATCGTTAGAAACTTACAACCCACGCACGCAAACTCGGTTACAGACGCCGCTCACATCGGCGCACGGACCACGGCGAGCGCTGCGAACAGCACACGTGCTCGTTTCAAAACCCTCGCGAAAAAGTACACCCCAAAGAAATGAGCTGTTGACAGCTTAGGTGTGCTCCTTTAAAAAAAAAAATCATCAAGAGTTCAGGGAATGCAGAAGGAATGGTTGCTCGCTTTCTTAAACCTCTATTTACAGCAACTTGCCACGTGTCTGCGATGCTACATGCGTCGCAGGGACTTCAAACCGATGCGGCCAAATTCGGAAAACTAATTTGACAGATTCACACCCAGGCACACATCCCACAAACTGCCAGTCCGAGCGAGCGCCGGGAGGAACACAAAAAAAACATGCGCGTGACTTTGGACGATTTTCTCCCACTCCAGAGGCCCACATTTGCTCAGAGTAAACCCTGGCTGGAACATGAAGTGTAACTCTTGATCACATCGCAGTCCATAAATGCATCTGTTCACGACAGGGCCAATGCTACGCGATGCACAAAGCGGGAGAAACTAAATCCCGAAGGCTTGGCAGCTGTAACACTGTGCTGCACTTTGTGCAGCAAGCAAGGCAGGATGGTGCGGAGGGGCACGGCTCACCTCGCAGAAGAGTGTCAGCTTGTCGTCCGGGAGCAGCCCATTGGCCTCGTCCAATAGGAAGTCGCGCCGAATGAACTTCTTGAAGCCCCAGTCTTTGCCCTGAACAAACCGATATGCCCTCTGGCTCTCTGCGTCCACAAGACGGAGAAGTGACAGGCGGAGAGGGAGGAGGAGAATGAGGCTTGGACATGGCACGGTCGCAATATGTGCCACTAAATTTGCACTCTGCTGGGATGTGTTTTTTTAAGTGACCGGGCCGTAGGTGGCCTGGCTGTTGCGTGAGCTTTGGCAAAGCAATTCAAGAATCAATGAACAATTTGGTACACAGTCAGCCATGAGCAAAAGAGGTAAAAATAGGGCAGCTATTTTGTAAATAAAAAAAACACAAACACGCACAGTGAGGAAAGGTGGGGAAGAGAGGTGAGTCACGATGCACTTGCACCTGAATGTCAATTCTATTAAAACAGAATAAGTTTTCTACCGACGTTGTTGGCATGCTATGCATGTGGCATGTGCTCCAAAACAAAATTGCAACCAACATCCACTTGTTTAGTTGCAGTTACTCATTCCTCACCACCCCCTCCCCCCACGGATGCATGCATACATTAGAGGTAGTTGAAAAAGTGCCTGAAAATGAAATATCGCTCAAACTATTTTGAAAATGCCAATATTGCAGTAAAGTTTTTTTTTTAAACAAAATGTTACATTAAAATAGCAAAAGCGGAACAGCACGACTGAGCCGCCAAATTAAATAACCATCATCGATTTTCTGTACCAAATTATTTATTTCTAAAGTGTCACGGAGTCGAAACACATGGGCAGTCACAAATCTCAAAGTGTCAAATGGCTTAGGTTAAAAAAAAATGACAGAGTTATCTCGGGTCATAAAACCACCCCAGGCATGAACCAAGGAATGTCACATCATGAAATAATGGAAGCCTACAAGCTGTTTTTTTATACTGTTTTTTCTTCCTGGCCAATTGAATGACTGGAGGAAGAAAGACGGATTCCTAACTGCCAACGTTGGCAGGGCAGTTTTGACAAAGGGGCATTAAGCTTCGCCATAAGCAATGGCAAAAAAACTCTACATTCACTTACTCGACGATGAAATTGTTTTAACGCTCTTCCCCTTTCAGCATGTATTGCATTTATGTATTTTCAAACAGATCCAGTGGCATCTCAATTGAATGCCTGTCCATGGCTGTTATTGTTCACTGTGATTTGCATTGTACTCTAAAGCATAGAATTATCTACATACGTTGTAAGTGGTGGGATGTGCTCCCATCTTCAAGTAAGCCACATGGCAATAATTGAGACCTCGACCAATAGCTGGCTTGGAAAAAAAATATCTACTGTCAATGATTAACATAAAGTAGCCCATCATTATCATCAGAAGCAGCAGAGGCACAGTGGCTAGCACACTGCAGGATGAACCTGGCGATCTGAGTTAGACAGCCGACCATGACTAACATCAGTGGTGGGTGATCCAAAACAGTCTTAAATGCCTCCAAGCTCTCACTTCACAAACACCGACTGACCATCAAGTAATATGGCCAAACAAGCTCTCATGACCGACATGGCTTGGAGAGGCCTTCATCCAACATTGGATTTTCAAAAGGCTGTCAATTATTATGAATGTAATTTACTCCGATCAACACCCTCGTCTTGTCTGTAACGAGGACATGTGTGGTGACAGCCCCCCACGCCACAGAGGAGTCAAAAATCCCAAACCTTTCATCAGGCTACAAGCCTCTGTGCTTCACTCAACAATCCATTAACCCCAAATAATTAGCATCCAAATCTTTACTTAAAGCTTTCGTGATTACAGGAATTCATATTTAGCATCCAATTTGAGATGTGAGCATTGCATTACTTAATTAACATACTTCTTTCCCCAACGGTTACTGATGCCTAACAGATTTATTTTGCATGCAATCTCATAAATATGAGGGTAATTTCTGTTCTTTAAGTTTCCACTAACAGAGCAGGCCTCTCTCTCTCTCACTTTGCATGGGCTCCAGGTCATAGAAGCACATTAGATAAAACCATTGGAGACCTGACACTCAATTAGATCCCAGACTTGTACCTATCCAGATCACAACCTTCACCCGACTTCGTCGCAGCCCATCAGGGAGCTGCGAGCCACAACCGTTAGAAGCGGCAAAGCCCGAAGGCAGCAGTGTACTTGTATGACAGAGCAAGAGAGACTGGGAGAGCGAGAGAGTGGCGTGATAAAGGATGTGAACAAAGGTGGGAAGGCATAAAAAGGGGCATATCAGCGAGAGATCTTGATCTAAGGCAAGTTGAGATGACACTAGACTTGTCATGATTAAATTTCACGCCAATGCACGAGGGCTTTGATGGCAAGAAGAGTTTTCAAGATAAAAGAACGCAGCCAAGGGTTTTCGTTTACTAAGCTTGAGTGGCATTGTTCTATGGTGCTGGAGACAATGAAAAACACCCCAGTGAGAACACAGTTGGCTCTGCAGAGATGCAACATTTTAACGTGCATATATTTACCTTATTAATTCTGACATTAACTTATGAAACTGAGCAAAGTGCTCTTCCTATTTTACCATTTGCTCTGGATAGACACTCGTAAATCTGTGCACCAATGCCCAAATTTGTATGCATGTACGTGCTTGACTTTGCACTACAAAATGCCTCATTATGCAACATGATGGCAGCTCATCGATGATTGCAAATCTGATTACGTGTAAGTTAACATTGGCAGTATTTTCATTTCTGCTTGTGCATGCAAATGCAATGGTGTGTATGTGCGTGTTTTGCATGCAACGCACACCGACTATGGCATTCTAAAACTCCCGGAAAATGAACTGTAAATGAGAACTTGTGTGTGGTGTAACATCAACACGAGGTAGACAAAAGCTGTTTTGGTGTGGCCGTAACCCCACCACCTTCTCTCATGCAATAGCATCCTTAAGGTCCAAACACACTGCAATTTCAATGCAATCAATGGGGGGTAGGAACAGATGCACTAGATTGCAAGGAATCGGAGGCGAACACTACCACATACACTTACACACACCTACATAAGCAAACACAGAACCCATGCATAACTGACACAGACTATCAGAGCAAGTGCTATAAGCGACCACCAGTTAAGTCCGCCACAGAACACGAGGAGGCAATGTGGCCAGCGACACGTAAGGCCACCTTTGTCTCACCAGTGCTAATGTTTACACACTATCAAGGTGCATTATTGGTGGAGTCGGCCTGTATAGGCCCAGCTCTGGTTAAGATATTAATTTGCACTGACGGCAATCGTGGCTGGGAATCGAGCTCAGGTCATTAGGATTCGTAGAGCAGTGCGCACTAACCACCACCACCAAGCAATTTGATATGCCTACATTCATATACACAAATAGACACACGCGCCATGTGCACGTACATACTCTCTGCGTAGTCACGTGACTCTCACCGACTCACTAAATAGGTGAATGTTGGATTGCGATCGCGTCCGATCTAAAAAATTACAACGCAGATCAATCAAGCGCGACAGTCTGCGACTGCATCACAACCGAGAGCATGGCGCAAGTGTAACGCAATAGTGCGTCGGGTCGTGCAATCGGCCGCTCGTGATAGGATCGTACCCCACCGATTGCACCAAAATGACATTGTGCATCTAAACCTTTTATAGATTATTGCCAACACCATGTGCATTTAGTCTGCCAGTGCTGAACTAGGGTTAATAGGGCACTCACTACCTGAGTGTATACAGTGCTGCAAATGCAGTTTTCTAAAATTGGTATTGGCAGTTGAAATGCAGCTAATTCTACGTACGCTTTGGTATGCTGCAAAGTAATTCCTGTAAAAAAAAAAAAACCCATCTTCAGTGACTTCAGAGATATTCTCATTGGGTAACTTTCTAACTCGCAAGTGTCACGTAGCCAATTCAGTCAAATTGAAAATGACACGCGAAAACTTCGTCACCAGTTCAAAGATGCACTCTGTAAGGACGCTACCAGCGGTCATGTGTGTTCTTGAAACGCAGCATCACTAGTTCACTATTCTAGGGGGAAACACTCTCAATGAGTCCGAGTTTCCATACACACACACACATTTACATTGACTCCATTGCAGCTAATGTGAAGAAGGCTTAGTATACAAGTCGAATTCATCTTATTAAAGTACTCTACTTCAAACAAAGATAACTGCATGAACCAGATTAGTTCCACAGTGCATATATCAAATGCACAGGGGCGACGTCGCAATTAAAGAACACTTGTTGTAGCCCGATTTCAGATTAATGGGGGCGGGACATTTAGCCATTTTTGTTGGTGTCGTTAGGGGAAAATACTAAAAAGCTATTGTTTGAACGCGCAGCTCTTTGAAATGCAAATATTCGGTTGGAATACAGTCAGCTGCAGCTCAGCTTCTGTGCCAAATACAGTAAGTGCACCTCTTAACAGGCACTATTCCCCGCGCGCCCGCAAGCGCACCAAAGCTGCTAATTAGATCTGAACAAGTGAGCAGCATGCGGCCGAGAGCGGAGTGCTATATCGCAGGAGTGTGCTGTGCCAGGGGAGATGGGGGTCGGGGGTGCGCAGGGTGGTGGTGGAGGATGGGAGGGATGGTGCCAAGGTTTGAGGTGGGGAGAAGAAGTAGAGAGGTGGGGAGGCAGGGGGATGTGAGCAAGGGAGGCGTGGGCTCACGACAAGAAGAACTGCAGCCGACTAAATCAACATCCCAGTTGCTTGATTAAGTGCGCATGACGGTGTGAAATCCCGAGAGCATGCTTTTCCAAGAGACGCCTTATTACACAAGCTCTAGCGAGGATAACGGCAGTGTAAACCCTTCCTTTAACTCCCTGCAACCCCCACCTCATCGCCCTTTCACTAATAAATGCGCCCCCGCCGGAATCCCCGTGGAAATAACTTACGTTATTGTAAAATTGTTTAACATCTCAAATCCTAGCTCCCTCTCCCCCCATCTATTGCCACTAATGGCCATAATGTGAGCCTAATTACGATGAGGGATTTGTCGCGCGCTATGCAGAGCACTTGTTTGTCAGCAGCTCGTCACGATGGCTGAGCAACTCTGACATGACTAAATCTGGCAGCGGGAAGCGCTGTACGGAGCTAAGGTTGTAGGCGATTTGCTTGTGCAAAATATGCCATATACAGTAAAACCTTGGATTGCGAGTAACTTGGTCTGCGAGTGTTTTGCAAGACTAGCGAAAATGAAAAATAAATATTAATTTGATAAACGAGTAAGTACGTATACGCTTTGTCTGCAGAGCGTCACGTGATCACAACTTATATACGAGTGCTTTGATATGCGAGTGCTTTGGATTACAAACACGTTTCCGAAACGAATTATGCTCACAATCCAAGGTTTTACTGTATATGAAAAAAATCTGGCTTCGATTGATTAAGGAAGTGTACATACGACGGGAAAAAGGTTGTAGAAAAATAATTTACAATGTAATGATCCAAGCTGGCAAGATTTGCTGGAATCATCGGACACTGCTTTCAGTCTAGTTAAGTGGAAGAGTAACGAGTTTGAATGCAGTTCAATTTGGCCTATCTGTCTTGAGAAAAGCCAAAAACAATACATGATATGAGTGTACAAATACACCCCTTTGTCAATCCACTGCTGGAATAGAGCTACCCCATGCCACTTGGGTGGTGTGGTTGTACTTCACGAATGTATCCCCACCGCAGCCTATAACCTGTTATATGCAGAGTGGTCACTCAATGAAGCATTATCCAGGCTCAAATCCCACTTAGCTTCCGAGATCAGACAAGTCTGCGTGCACTTCAGGTGATATGGTTATAATGATGGGTCTAATTTATGTTAATCATTGACGGTAGAGCATTTTTTGCCAAGCCAGCTATTGCTAAAGGTCTCAATTAATGCCATGTGGCTTGTTTGAGGATGGGAGCACATTCCATCACTTACAAGTATGGAGATATAAAAATGAATGTGCAGAGGAAAACGTTTGGTTCAAGGATGATTCGTGAATAACTAATTTAATGAAAATATACTTTCAAAATTTTCATGTCGGTATCACAGTCATTATGCTGCTTGTGGCAACAGCTGCGAATGTGGAATTTATTACGGTCTTTAGAAAATGTGACAGGTAAGATTTCCTGTGGATTGGGTGCACGGAATTCCCTTTCCATACGCCGCGTGTGGGGAGACAGAGTCGGCACAACGTCGTTACGCGAGCAGGTGGTGCCCGTCTGTGGGTGGTCGATCGTGGGCGTGTGCTCGCTTGCAGTGTGTACAACGAACGGTGGAACAGCGGTAAGCACACTGCTTTAACAAACCCAGCGGCCCGATGTTAATTTCCGGGCAACGGCTAACATCAGTGGCGAGTGACATCTGAACCAGTCCTGGGTATCTACGTTCACCAACCTGCACTGGTCAACATGATCAAGTGTGGTCGAACAAACCCCCGTCACTCTCGTGATGTGGGGATACCTTCTTCCACCTTGGTCTTAGGCCTCCCCTAGGTTGACTCAGCTTTACACGAGTACATGATTACAGCGTGTATCCTGGAGCACTGGGGGAAGGGCAAAAATGACCGGGGGAAAATGCTGGTGACCCACCCCCTCGTGTGACGTGCCAGACTTAATAGCTGCTCGCTAATAGCACTTGCCCCGACAGTCTGTTAAAGACTATATAGGGGATCTTTGCCTTTGTGTGTAGGTATGCTGCAAAGGGCGCTTGCCTCAATAGTCTAAGAGCTATAGGTGGAGGGCGGTCTTTATATCTGCGTACCATGAACATGCATTGCACACGTGTATTCATGTACATGTATGTGTGCAAAGAGCACATCGTGTGTACTCGGTGTTGTGTATTGCGTGTTTCGTGTGTGCCGTGAGTGGTGCAGGACATGCAGGACATTCCCGTGTGCATCGTACCCCAGGTACGGTGACACGTGCACATAATACAGCGCTCTGGAGGCAAGAGTTTGTGGGTCGTGCAGATCCTTGAGATTCCCAAACCCTCTGGGGGTGCTCGACGCCAAGGAGTTGGACGTAGGGCAAATGCGTTTGTGAAACCGTCTACGTTCTGGTCATTCTCCAGGTACTCAAGTTTCCTCCCACAGCCAAAACGCTCCTTAAAATAAAACTGGCTAAACGTCCCTATCGCCCGGACTGCAGCTGATCTCGTTAGATCTCAGAGGCTAGGTACGGTTGAGCCTGCTCCAAAATGGTGAGCCCCAAGCAAAAACAAGTTGCCATAGGTGGCTGCGAGGTTACACTGTGAGCGGTGGAGGGCAGCGTCGCAAACCCCGTCGTTAAACTAAATTATACTGCATTCACCAAGACGCATTGACCAGCATGTTGAAGTATGGTCGTTTAACTTCCATGACACGAATGGCATCGTGAAAAACCTCGTGCAGCCGTGGAATGAGTAAAACACTTGTACATCTCAAAGTACGACCATGGAAAAAAAGTCTTGAGTGTCTAAGAATATGTGTGTGCGCATCAGCATACGCACACGGGCATGCGCGCGCACGCAAGCAAGCACGCAAGCACCCGACGCCATCCTCACCCATTGCCTTGGTCTCCTCTCCCTTCGCGTTTAGAATGGAGAACTTGAACTTAGCCCGGACCTCCGACTTAGGGCAGCTGACGAGCAGCAGGTAAAGCGAGAGGTAGTCTTTGCTCTCCTCATCCAGGCCTTTGGGGTTCACGCGCAGGCACCTGTGCGGAGATGACAGCATCGATCGTCACGCTAGCCCTGCAATCCGTCCCCGCCCCCTTGCCCCGACCAAACTCCCCTGAACGCCCGTGACGTCGACGAGGATTCAAGAGAACAGAAAGCTTTTTATTGACGGATGGATTGATTGATTGGCCGGACATGGGGAATTCCATTAACCTTGGCAGCAAAGCTCACCGTGGGCGCTCTGCGAACAGAACTGCCGGAGTTTGTTAGCAAAACAAACGGAGCTTTCCACACACCCGATGAATTTTCAATGAAACCGCGCAGGTTCATCACATCAGCGGCAACGTATTAGGAAGGATGCTTGCTTTTATTTACGCTCTTAGGCTGTCGGCTACATCAATGCATAGTCTCTTAATCTGAATGGCTTCACCAGCAGCTGTTTAAAAAGCAACAGAACAAAACATATGGCACCTTATATACCTCCAACGAAGTACACAGTTCATAAATTCAGTGGAAAGATGGTTTAGTGCCTGAAATTAAGTGTTAAAGTCAGGTAACCTAATTAAACAAATCTGAACATGAAGAAGGAATTTTTCTGTCATTTTATTATATAAATGTCAATTGGGACATTCCTGGCTCGCTGGTGGGAAAAAAAAAGCTATGGGCAAGAGATGAAATCCTAGAACAACATGCAACCTACACTGTGATATTTACACAGTGAAACCCACACGTGCCAATTCCAGCTAAAGTTTAAACTCACAATACGCGGCAAGAAAGTATCATAGATGTAATCCGGAAAAGGAGGTTGTGATGGGTGGGGCATGTGTGCATGAAGGGAGGAGGGCCGGGTTACCACTGGAGGTTGGGAACAAAGGGCAAGTCCAACAGCCAGATAGGGACATACTGTAAGAGCAGGTCTGGGAAGTCGGGTGTCGATTTTACAACTACGACATCTGCAGACAAAGTGCTTACCACAAATGAACCGCAATACCTTGCTGATCTCGTCAGGGGGCAAAAACCACCATGCGAACTCCGGCCTTCCTCGCAGTGGCTTTTGGATAGCCATCGAACAAAGACGATCACTGCATCGCGTGCTTTCAGATGTGCTTCTGCGACCGTCTGGAACGCTCTTCCTTCAGATATTAGGAAGCCACTGGCGCTATTGCGCTCTTAAATCTTGATTGAAAATAATTTCTTTACAACTGATTTTTGTGTTTAGTTTGTTGTCATTCCCACGTACCTCTGATGAGCACGGGTGGCTATGTATGGTGCAAAAGAAGATCAACACACATAAATACATGGCGATGTGTGGTGGTATCAACGGTATTAATCGTGATGACCTCTTGATCTAGACCACGAGTACGAACATATTAAGGAATTCCAAAGTGTCACTGTGGACGCTCGCTACTTTATCTCCATGAGATTATAATCGCAGAATATTGCAATGAGCGATTTGCTGCCCCGCGTATGTCGACCTACCATTTCAGCTTGTCGTTGGCTCCCGACGAGAAGGTCGAGCTTTTGAGCACCTCGCCCATCTCCTCCCGCGAGAAGCTGAAGTTGTTGATGGTCCACATGTAGGAGAACTTGACCACTTTCACCTGCGGCGACGCGCAGCAACGCACAAGGTCACGCCGACTCCGTCACCCCCCCCCTCATGCATTTGATGACACAGCCGCGCGTTGCATCACTCCCCGCAGATCAACGCGGCCAAAAGAACACTACTATCTCCAAATGGAAATTCGAGATTATTTTTAAACCGTTTTTCGAGAAGGCTGCTAATGGAAGACATTCTATAGTACATGGAGTTTGCTCTGGATATTCTGAGCCGGCATGCATGTTCTTCATTGTTCAGCTTGTGTCATAAAGTTATTAGAACAACAGAATAATGTGCTGCCATTGTGTGGAATTGTATTTAATTACTTTACAAATATAAAGATGAGTCCTTAATTTATACACGAATTCCTGAGGGGCCTGCTGAGGTTGTTTGACCAATTCCTTAAGACAACATTTATTTTAAATAACATAACAATATAGTAATTAGAACAACTCTAGCCAGTGGATTGTAGTTAGGCAGTGGATTGTGATGAAATGTAGTCTTCCGAACGAACAGAAATATACCTCTAAACGAAAGACATGTCATTTGTTGACATACAAAAGTACATATCACACGGTCAAGTGTTTGTAACCAAAAAGACTTGCTGTGTAAATGTGCAGACCACACTGCACACACACACACACTTACACACATACGAGTTGGCTCAGCTCCGCCATACACATGACCTTTTGCATTGAGCCCTGCGCTGAGATTCATGAAACACTGGGTCAACGAAGCCCAAAATGCATCCACTGTACAACAACCCAATTCGCAAAACGACACCGTGAAGAACCAATAATGAAAAAGCAACAAACGAGTGAAAGGAGGGCTTGGTTATACACAAGAGGTGGGGGCAATCAGAATGCGGTTCACGGTGTACAGGGCTCGTGCAAGGGGGCTGGTTGGTTAGTTTGTTGGAGTGAAAGGTAGGGTTAGTGTTTTGGTTCACTAGGGTCTTCTGCCCCTCAACAGTTTGCCCTTCACACCCTGCCCCCTCACCCACGCCCAAGCGTGGCCTTTTCACGTTTGTTTGATATTCACTGCCGATGTTCACGGCGGCACAAACTATATATTTTTTTATTTTACCAGGTAAGGCCGACTGGGCCATGAAGCTCTTTTTCAGAAGTGACCTGGCCACAAACGATAGCTCAACGAAGCAGCTCATCATGTGGAAATGTATAACACCCAAATACTCGAAACGCACGTTTCTAAATTTGGAGAGAAAACCGGTAGTACCCGGACAAATATCCACGTGAACACGAAGACAACATGCAAACTCGAAATATACAGCAGTCATCAGGATCCAGATGGAAACCACAACCTCCTGTATACCACGCAAGGGAGTTAACATCTTGTAACAGTGGCACCCTCAAGAGTTGCAAATGCGGCCGCTGCTCGCGCACCGACTGCATTTGGAAACTGGCGCATGGAAGCGCGAACTACCAAGCACCCGATGCAGCACCGCTTCCAACATCCAGTGCATGTACCACTGTTGCAAATGCTGCCATTAAAAAAAATGCATGTTTGGGCGTAATAAGCTCTTAACATTACACACTTCCAATTAACACCACAGTACAACAGCAAAGGAAAACAAATAACACTGATGGGGGGGGAAAGTGGGGGAATCTGCACAAAATGCATTATTATTGTCGATAACATAGCTGCTGCATCGTGTTTAGGCATGCTGTTAGCAAGTGTTAATAATGCTGATGTTAATAAGTAACAGGATAAAAAACACATCAGATGGCATAAATTGAATGTTCTGTTGGAAATGCGCACACCATTCAGTGCTGTTGTAGGAATGCGTGAGGAACAAGGGCTCTGGGCAATTTCTCTGACCTCAATGCAAAGTCATCTTGACACTATAAAACAAATGGGGAATTTGTATCTTTGCAATGGGTATAAAAGCTTGTGCAAAATTTAAGTCTGGAAATGTTTTAAATCTGGCAAGTTTAGAAAGTCCTCTCAGGATTAATAGAGGCATCTTAGCAAAAAGCACACGTGTTATTATGCTTATTACCTTTTTTTTTGCAAACAAAAAAATACTTGCTGCAATGAATTCACGATGTCACCTCTGCCGGCCACCGTTTGGCATTATATATTTTAATCACGGTAGGGCTCTCTGTATATTCGTGCTTGTATGAACTTTCAAAAGAAATCGTTCAAAATTCTTGTCAAAACATATTGGAGTGTACAACTGAAAGATTACAATGTAAATAAATGCCATAATGCCATGTAAATAAAGAAATTCTGAACTTTTATTTTTTGGGGGGGGGGGGCTATTGAGTTTCGTACATTGTTAAGATGTTGTTTCCCCAATTGTGGAGAGGTTTTAAGATTCCATAACTATATGAAAGGTGAAATCATATATTTTTGAACAAATTACATTTCTAAACTGATTTTCACTTCCTAAAATTAACTGCATGAAGAGATCAATGGAGCAGGGATTTTTTAGGGGTTTTTTTCACATTTGCAAAGAACGATGAAAACGGTTTGGATTTATGGCGCTTCTTCATTCAACCGCATCTCGAGAACATGTGAAATAATCGACTACAGGTTTCCCTCGCTCTACGCAGGTGCGGTTTGTGCAATATCTCGTAAATGCAGCGAACCTATTCTTACCAAAAAATTTGCTATCGGCAATTTGAACTCGCTCATATGCGGTTGGACGTGGGACAACGCTGTGTGTACTGGCTGTGTACTGCGTCTACTGTGCGTGTACTGTGTGTGCTACTCGGCAAGCAGCTGTCTCGTGCAGTTTCGCTTTTGTTGGAACGCATCTACCGTGCAAAGTGAAGAAACCTACATCTCCATTAGACAGAAATACAAAATGTGTAAATGCATCATAGATGTGCTCACAAATTTTGGGATTAAAACCAAAATCGGACATACACATGAAATGTTGCATCCGAAACACGTTTTTGTTGCAGACCGACCTGGAAACTGGAATTGGTGTTACGAACTCGACCTCACTTGCACTACTTTCCCACAAAAAGTGGTGTTACTATTGTTAGCAAAAAAAAATATTACATTAGCACTAAATGTAATTACATGAACATCTGAAATATTAAAAAGAATCTGTTTTCATGTGTAACTAATCCCCTAGATACATATACATCTAAAGAAAAGAAACAGTCGTAGGCAAAAGAGGAAGTGATTCATCTTGAGGCAGGTTGGGACAGGGAGTCGAAAGCATGAATGGCTGGGGAAGTGTTCAGTGATTTTGAGGCAGGATTATTCTCCCTGGATCATCAAGCAGGCTTTGCAGGCTGCCTGCATCAGGTGTCACTGATTAATGCACAACGTAGGCAGATAGTACTCACCACGCTCCATTCCTGGAGTTGAACAGGAATGGCGTATTCTGTGAACCTGGCAGCTACTGACAATGAACTTTCAACAGAGCTCAACCTTCGATCAAGAGGTGCACTGGAGGATAAGAGGCTTGGCTCCAGAAATAAAGTCTTACTGAACTGCTACGCAGCAACCATTCATATGCTTATGAATAAGACTTAAAATACTAACAGATCTTTGTTTATCCAGGGAAGCGTCATTAAATAAAGGATTTTTAAATCAAGAAATTACTTGGGATATTCAGGCAAAATACTTTATTTTCATTCTGTGTGTATAGCGTCCAGCGAAAAACCATGCATAGCAGGGCTCATATTAACATACCAGATCTGTATGAATAGGTCAACAACCTATTCTCTATCAACTGCAGACTGATGTCTCGCAAACATATCGAAAAAAATCGACCAACCCCTCCTGCAAAGCACCCGGTTAAACACCCGCATCACCAAGATGTCATCTTTTGCCTCGTCACATAAACGACAACAACAACAAAAACTCACATTCGTCAACAACACTGCCCCCAAAATCAAAAGGATACAACAGGTGACATCTCAGGACAATGGCCACTCATGTTGTGCTTTATATGGAATGTATGGTGGTTGACTTCAAAGACTTGAGGACAATATACAGTGTACATTTGTTGTCCGTCCACATGCACGATATGGCATTAACTCGTGGGCACCGGGGGACGTTATCATGTCCCATTTCTCTTCGGGGCATCAGTAATAGGGGACAATCAGTCGGCAGATGCTGGTAATGTTATCGAAAACAACGGTCGTGCTGTTTGCAGCGTACATCCTTCTGGATTTCTTTTGTTGAGTTTAATATTTATTTATATGCAGTAAATGGAAATGCAATATCAATTTTACCCGCAGGGTCAGAAAATGAAATAAAAGACAAATCAGGCAATAAAAGCTATTATGGGCAGGATAAAAAAGGACCATGTTTTTTTTTTAATAGAGCGCATTTATGATGACATTTGATTAGGCCAAAATGCTGTGTTTTTAGCAAAAAATACAAAAAAGCCAGCAACGTTTTGTATATTTTGTTTGATCTTTTTGTTCCCCAAGGCTATATTTTCATCTATCAAAAAAAAGCATTCTGGAAGGTAACCATTCCCACCGTATTATTACCAGCAATGCCTGAGCTCAGCACGCATTTACTGCAAATTACAACGTGCGTACTTAACACATTATGCTAAGCGCAACCCTGTGTGCCCTCTGGTTGTCAAATGCTGAAAAATCCAATAGCAGATTTGCTTCGCAAACATTACAAGTTGAATTTTAAACGACTTCAATAGCTGCCGAAATACAAGCTCTAAGGAAAAGGAATAATAACGTCAGACATCAAGCACCAACATTACCAAAACCCTACCGACACTTAGCAGACAAACACTGCCGTTTTCGCTAGCGGGTCTTAATGAGAAATATAAAGTGCCATTGGCCACAAAGTCAATTTCCTACCAAGGAATGTTTTTTTTTTAAACTATAATTCTACACTATCACTGTAGTGGTTTTGTAAGGGTTAGCCATTCACAATGTCTGACACTGCAAGCTTTATTCATATTGCTTTCAAATGCCTCATTTCCGAACGAGCAGTATGCATTGCACACTGGGAGACATTTAGTAACGGGGGTGCAATTTTGTAGACACGGCA